CATCAACCAGAACCTTTCTCCCACTACGGTTGGGATGGGGCCTGTGCCTGGGAACCTTAATTACAGGTACGGAAGCAGAGCTAGAAGAGTTTGTATCCATCATCCCTGTTGCCGAGGAACTGTAATGTCTCGAGAGAGGTGCGGGGCGGTGATGCGGGAACGCGAGACGCGGGTTCGGGACAGGACACGGCTGGGAGCAGCGCGTGGGTGGAGGATTGTACGTGGGTAAGAAAGCTCGGCTTCACCTCGAGCATCTGCGCGTGTCCACGCGGGCACAGGGTCTCCGTGTTTCCGCATTTGGCAAAGCGCTACTGGACAGCAACAGCTTGCCAGCTGCTGTGACGCTGGGCTTTCTTCGACTGTTGGCTTGTCCTTTGGACCAAACTTCTCTGTTAACTGCACTCACGAAGGATATTCTCCCCGTGAGCCTTATTTCTAAGCATTTAATGACAGTGTTTCTGGGTGTCTTGCATTTGTTGTTTTTATATTCACCGTGTTACCCCAGTTAATACAAAGTTTGGGGCATTTTTGATTACAGAGTTGACGAAAAGAGTAAAAAATACTTGAACCCATTTCTAAAGCAACGGAAGCATTCTCCAGCAGGCCATTACAGCATCAGCTTGACATCGGTAAGCCGTCTGTCTTTCCCCCTTGGCAAAGCAAAAATAAATTCTCAACTCAAGTCTGTGTTTTATTGTCAAGAATCCCATGTGTTGCAGCCTTCACCGTAACTTCCCAACTAGAAATATTATTTTCTTTACCCCTTTTTTCCTGCAGGTATGTCATCTGTTATCCTTTGCTAACGTTTACCTTATATGAAACTTATTTTGTGTCAGAGCACAATTTTAAATGAGGGGAGCAGTCCGACACAGGCTATCGGTCAGAAGTGGAATGTATCTATGGCCTCCTGCCTGGCCAGGAAAAGTAGACCATACGTGCTGCGCTTCTGAAGCAGAATTTAGGATTTGGATTTAATGTGGTCAGGGCCTTATTTAGTCGTGTTACAAATACATTAAAAATTGATAAGGAAAACGAGCGAAATGGAAAGCTTTCCACTGTGCTCGCTGCCTAGGCAATATTCTTTCCATGCCAGCAGGAGCGGTCGCCTTTTTACAGATAACTAATCCGAGCCGTTCTCCAAGTGTTGTATTTTGTCTCTCTGAAAGCAGTCTCGCTTAGATGACTGGGCTTTTTTGCTCTGGCTGTTCCGTTGTTTATAATGTATAAATTACCCTTGAGCAGAGCGGATTCCTTCACACACATTAGAGTCTTTTCTTTTACTCTCCCGCAAGTTCCGACTACAGCGGAACATTGCTGCGTTGATGCGTTTTTAAGCATGAAAATAGCTTTGTTTTTCCTGTCTTTTCATGAGCTGGTACTTATGCCCTTGATTACAGGTTACTAATGAAAAAAACATCCTTCAGGCAAATAGGAAAAAATGGGAATTCTCCAAGACAGACGTGCGTTTGCCAGAACTAAATCATCTCCCTGAACTGAGAGGAGTGGAAGGTATGAGCTTTGATGTCCTCTAAATAAAACCCAGATCCCAAGGAAGTGGCGGGAAGCAGTGTGTGTTAGAGCAGTCAGCTCTTGCTGCTTTAACATGGTACGCATCGGTTGTGTTTTGCAGCGTGGCATCCCAGATTTCTGAAAAAGGAGAATAAAACAGTTTCGGAGTCCCGTGTCCCCTCCCTTGCTGCCATTGACCTCCATAACCCAAGTCTGGCCTCGCAGCAGGTAATAAAGCAATAAAATAGTTTGCGCTGCTCTGTATTTGTTTGGTTTGGGACTTTCTGAACAGCGCAAGCCAGATGTTTCCAGTGTGACTCTTAACAGAAGCAGAACTTGCCTTGGATCCTTAACTGACTAAGTAAAAGGACCTGAGGCCCTATGCTGGGGGAAAAGAGAAGGGTCACGGATGGAACATGGGGCTCTGTTTGCCTCTCTGAGCTTAGCTAAGTACTAGATTCTCACTGCTAAGACAGACAGCGTGAATTGTTGCTATTTCAGCTGGCTGGATCAAGGTGGAAGTAAGCCTGATGTACCAGAGTTGAAGAGAGACCAGGAGGTACACGTGTTTCGAGGAGAACTGTTGTGGCTGCATTAGATGTTGAGGGGCTGAGTGCAGTAGGGAGGGAGAAAGCGTAGGAGCGAGGTGTAGGGAGAGAGGGGGAAAACTTGCAACTCTAATCTTAAAGATTAGTTCCTCAGTAACCTTGAGATGTTGTTGGGGAGTTCAGTAATTCCACAGGCAGTTACCTTGGCTACCTTGCTTCCAGCTGAGATTTGGCAGACTGTACTGGGGGCCGGGGGAAGCATTTTTGAAGTCTGATTTGATCAAAGAACAGATTTGTTTTAAGATGCTCATCAGCATTGCCTATGTCCCTAGAAGACGGTTTCTGATTGTTCTCTCTATTTATACCACACTTGGAAATTGACCGTCTCTCTTTTTTTCTTTTTTCCTTCCCAATTTCCAGCTGTCCGGGACCTTGATGCCCGATGCCTCAGAAGCCAGTTTCCCCAGAGTTGAGCACTAGCCTTGCGGAGAAGGAAATCACACCTGCCTGTAAAAGGTAGGCTTTAATTTCTGCAGCGTAGCTTTCTGGTGGCTTTAATTTCTGCTGTGTAGTCTTCTGGTATCTTTCAAATGGATTCGGAAGAGCAGTGTGGGAAAATCCTTTTACACTTCACGTTCTCGATTAGGCCTCCTAGCTAGGACAGACTTCTTACGGAGGGCAGCACGCAGCTTTCTGTACAGACCCTGAAGTTGGCTGTGGCAGGTGACTTGTTTTCCTGAGCTGACGTGCTGGGCGTTGGCGTTGGAAATGAAGCAGCTCACGGAGTTGGGGGTTGAGGAAACTGATAGAATAACAAAAAGGGGAAAGTGGCTGCCTTCACGTGAGGAGTGGAAAAAAACGGGGTGTATGTACAGCACTGTCAAGCGCATCACAAAAAATGAACTTGCAAGAAGGGAGAAAAGCGTTTGGGGGGCTCGTCAAGCTTAACATTAGGGAAAATTTTTAATAACTATCTCATGCAATCTAAATTTATTTAATGTAGCTGTTGATACCTCAGTGTTCTCCAAGCATGAGAGAGGAGTCTGGGAGAGGAGGAGGCTTAGGAAAAGTCCTGGCTGTGGACTTTGGAAGATTGAAGTACTAAGTTTGAACTCTGCTACTCTATTTGCACTTTTACTTAGCGTTGCATCTTATCATTCGAGATTGTTTTAAGCTGAGGCTTTTAAATGTGGTTTTAATAGTTTCTCATCTTGCCCATTGAAAGACATAGAGTTCTCCAAGTCATTTTGTCTGGAAAAAAAAAACTCAGAAAAAATTGTGTGGTTTTGATTTTTTTTTTTTCTGTTGAGGTATTGTTACCTCTTGTTGCTCAGCGTCTTCCAGGGAGCGTACTGTATGTTGGAGTTTGTCTCATCCTCTTCAAAGTGAGAACTGCAGTGCTTAGCTGAGGGTTTTTACTCTCACGGTCACCCCTCTTTCCTCACTGAGGCTGGGCAGAAGGACTGCACCTTCCAGAGGGAGCAGAAGTTGGGGAGAACGAAGAGGGAGGGAGACAAGGTGCTCTGGAAGGGTCTTCAGAGGCCGTGCTCCAAAATCTCACCATCTCCGTTGGAACCTTGTCCTGTATAGATGGGCTTTACTCAATGCTCTGGGTACCCTGGTGCTGCCAGCCTGGACGCGGTCGCATACCTGTCCCTCCGGGGATTCTCCCTGCGGCCGCAGGGACCACCAGGCACCGCAGCCTCCCTCCTCTCTTGCTCGGTGTTTGTTACAGACAGCCACGAGCGTGTCGCAGCAATGCTGTTAACGTGCAGGTGCAAACTGTGCATCTTAGTTTCTTCTTCGGGGCTCTGGGGTTGCCTTTTTGAGGAGAGGGGGCAACTGCTGACTCTGAAATCTCTGCACAAATGCTGCATGTGCTCTTAATCTATACGAGTGTGCTTGGCATTTACATTCGCGTGATGTGACGGCTGAATGCTACTAGGAAGAAAGAACAAAAATCACTGGGATGGAAGCAATCCTGGTAACAGAAGTGGGGGGAAAAAGAAACCTTACTAAAGTTGCCTCATCTGTGAAGCACAGAGGTGTAAGTGCACAGCTTTAGCAAGGTAAGGGTGTGTAATAACACAAAATGAAGGAGGCGTATCATCAGGGAGGACCCCTGTGGTTTTGTCAGGCTGTCCATAACGTCATTCCGCTTTTCTCCTCTTGATGCAGGTGGCTGAAACAGTGGGAACAATCCACCCGAGTTTCCAGGTGCTAAAGCTGCAAGGTCTCTGCAGGAGAGAGGAGGATCCCTTACTCCCTCGTTAGCGCAGCGGACTGCCGCGGGAAGCGGCTCCGGTCCCGCCCGAGGACAGAGCTCGCGCTGCCATTGCTGCTGGGTTTCTTGCATGCAAAACCACTCCTGAAATGTTGACTTTCTGGCCCAGGGCCAGGTCTTTTCTGAGGCTGCTCAGAAAAAAATAGTGGTTATTGGTGTGTGACAAGGGCAGAAGCTCGTTTGGAGGATTTTGAAGGAAGCTGGGCTTTCTTTTGTCTAACTGCTGCCCTCTTGAGGGTTTTTGTCTAAAATGAACAGTGAAGAGGGTAGATAGCTGCTGAATTTGCCATGTTTTGGTGGGCTACCTGATGGGTATTGGAAAGCACCTTTGCCTCGACAAAAATGTCAGCGAAGAAAATGTTTGTGCAAGAAATACAATGTTGAAATGTGCAAATGTCCCCAGCTGTTCCTTTGAAACCCTTGCTGATGCTCAGCAGCGTGTGTGACCTTGTGTTAGGTTCCTTTTCCCTCCGTGCTTTTGTCCCTGTCTTTGGGCGGTTGTCTTCCGGGTGTTTCACCGGGCCTGTTGTCTGGCTGTTGTTAATGGTGAAGGAAGGATATCGGTGTAAAACACTGAGCTGTGACGTGGGTGGCACGTGAAACGGCTTCTGCGAGCGCTCAGTAACTCAAGTTACCGGTCCTTTAGGGCCCTTGGGGGAATGGGACAAGTGAGTGTAAAACTCGCCAGCGGCTTGTGGGGAGAGAAAGATGGCATCGCTTTTATCTTGGGACCGTTACGAGGCTATTTTTGCATAACTGCCCTCAAGTTGGTTGTGGTCAGTTCTATGGTGTCCCTGCGTTGCTCACAACTCTGCCTTCCGGCGGCTCGAGGCTGCTGTCACAGCTCACGCCCCTTGACAGCGTCGTTAATTTTGGAACATGTCCTTGCACAAAATGTGGCCTGTCCCATCGGTGTATCATGGCAGAATACAGTATGAATATCATCGTATTTAGAGCTTTGTGGCTATGCTGCATTTTGACATGTACGTTAAAATTTGTAAATAAAAGGATATTCAGATTCCAAATTTCTGGGCACGAGTGTGTGCTTACAAATGTAAGAGGTGCTCGCTTAGTCTCCCCTGGACGTGGTGTTATATCTGCTTGTGTATGTCGGTGGCATTACCTGCATTGAAAAATAGGACTTTCGAATCGGTTTTTATTTAACAGTTGACATCGTGTTTCTCGCACCCATTTACAAGCACAGGTTCCTGATGTCCCTCGGCAGCATCCGGACAGCACGTAGCCCATGTGCCCGCCAGCGTGCCCTTTACCTTCCCAGCTCGGCTGTGACATTCCCATTTCTCTGCTTTTTCTTCATTGCTAACCAGGAACCACTCCAGGGTAGCCCAGTTGTACCCGTAGCGAATGTTCCCAGCTGGCCACAGCAGTCATTTAGCTAGCCGTGAGCAAATACCACCAACCTACTTGCCTAAAATTGACCTGTTGAGACTTCACCCCAGCTAGGATCGGGTGCCCGCCCCTGCGTGAGCACCGAGATGCTCAGCCTCGACATCTGTGAGTAGTGGGACCTTGTCTCGGAAACAGCAAACAACAACTGGAAAAGTTCAGGGGAAACCTCACTGCTGTCCAGCTGGGGGCTGTTCTCCCCTATGCTCCATCAGGCGGCCAAGATTTTTGGTTTTATTGGGGGGGG